AAAACCATCTTTTAAGATCATTTTAGTGAAAGTTTCATCCTTCAAGGCGTACCATTCACTGCTCAAATACTAAACAACCTGCTTACATTGCCGAGATACAGGGCGCTCATATTATAAGGTAAGGTTATAAAACCACCTTTTAAGATCATTTTAGTGAAAGTTTCATATTCCTATCTCATATAATTTAAGAACAATGATGAATAAATCATTTTCGAGCAAAATTTAAATGGACGGCTGAATATATTACCGCCGGAGAGACGGCCGCGGAATTTAAATGACCGCGCGGAAGGGTTAAGAACATTTACTGTAGGGCCCTGAAATGATGTATGCTGCTAGGTAAAGTATGCAAAGTAATGGCAGCTGCATGAAATGCACATTTAGCTATCAGTTTAATGGTGAATGAACCAATGAAGTGTTGGAGCTAGGCATGTGTAATTTCATATGGAGGTAAACTGTAAGCATTCCTATTCATTATGTATGAAATATTGTTTATAAGTCAACAGTTAAAAACATGATGAGAGTGTGAAACTTCGAGGTTGTGTCTGTTAGATTTTCTGTAGACAAAGTCTGCTCTCAAGGACTATGTTCTTGATAACAGTGTAATGACCATTTGTGCAAAAGTCCAGCATGTAAAATTGCATTTCATTATGTTATGTACACTATTGAAACATGGCATTAACACTACAAGATTTGTAAGACTGAAAGTTGATGCAATTAAAAATTAGGCTTTATGAGTTCTACTCAGAACTTCTTTAGAGTCTGTGTCCTCTCATGCAAAAATTTTCACTTAATGTACATTTTGCTGTTGTAATGCTATGCGTTATGTCAACTGCAGGATATGGCAGCCTCGACGGACACAGTGTGTGAAGGACTACTCAAACTACTGCATCTGTTGTATGACAAAGACATTTTGGGAGAGGACGCCATTTTAAAGTGGTATAACAGTGATGACAAATCGTCAACAGCTGCAGCTCTCCGCAAACAGGTAATGCGTACTGGACATACAGGGTTCGGCAGAGAAACCTGACATATTTAAGTTGGCACTAGTTTGGGGGTTGGTGGTGTGGGAAGAGAGGGCTCACTGACCTTGAACAGCTGAAAGTAGGCCATTTCAGTAGACATGGGACAGTGAACCGCAGAACATTGTGCTTTTGTCATTGAGACGTTTTTTAGAACTGGTGACTCTGTTACCCTGACTCAGTGACATTTCTGTGTGCACTTTAATGTAGGTCTTCATGGTAAAGTTCTCAGTAGGAACACAATTTCGTTGTGGATTGCAAATTTCAGATCAACTGGCCCAGCCCTAAAGAAACCGCCTGGAGATGCACGAAATGTCCAAACACCTCAGAATGTTGAGACTGTTAGGTGGGCGGTAGTGACTAGTCCCTGTCATTCTGCAATGCCATTCCATTAGGCATTTCATATTGGAGTGTGAGATGAATATTGCATTTTTATCCATACAAGATGATGGTTGTGCAAGAGTTGCATCAGTGTGATCGGGCGAACTGCGTTGCTTTTGCAAAAAAATTGTGGCAGATGACGTGGTCATTGCCATGAGTGACGAAGCACACTTCCACTTATCTGGGTGTGATAACAAACAGAGCTTTCATTATTGGTTGGACGCAAATCCATGGCAGCTTCATGAATGCCTTCTTTGCTCTGAACCTGTGAAAGTTTGGCACTTTGTGGGAAGCTTTGGTGTGATAGGCCCATATTTCTTTGAGGAGGATTACATGCTGTGACAGTATACTGGTCGCTGTGTTCACGTGCTGCATAATTTTCATGCACTAGAAATTAAAAACGTGGAATTAATCAACAAACCATGTGGTTTCAACAATATGGGGCCACCGCTCATACTGCAAGAACTTCCATGGCAGTTATGCGAGAAATGTTTCCTGGGCATGTCATTTCTCAGTGTGGTGATCTTCCATGGCCTGCTCAGTCGTCTGTATGCGATTATTTCCTTTGGGGTTACCTCAAAGCAAAGGTATTCATCAAGAGACCACGTACAGTTCATGAACTGAAAGTTGTGATTGAACCTGAAATTGCGGCAATAACCCCCCCCCCCCAACATGGTAAGACGCTCAATGACCAACTTCGAGATGAGGCTGCAAGAATGCGTACAAAGAGATGGTAACCATCTAGATGGCATAATTTTCAAGACAAAATGAGCTGGCAGTTGTACACACAAAATGGCATACATTGTTAAGTATTATGACAAATAAAATAAGCAAAAGAAATAAAAATTGGCTCCATTGTACTAATTTAGAATCCATCAGGTTTCGCTGCTGGACCCTGTATTATGAAAGTTTGGAACCAAAGGCAGAATGTGTTCAGCCTACAATATCTGTTTCCAGTACGTCCGTTACCTATCGTAAGACATGTCTTCAGATGAAACAACACATTCTTTCAAATGTTTCTTACACTATCTGAATTGATGAACTTGCAGACTTGATCAGTTGTGTGCCATTTTGATTTCTTATTCTGCCACATTCTTCCATTAATTCAGTTTCATAAACTTCTGAGATTATAGGACAACCCAAACAGGATTTATCACAGAGTTCATTTCTTCAAACTTCTTGAATAACTTTCCAACTACACTATGTGTAACTGAATTTCTTCTTGGAATTTATTATTAAATTCAAATGCTACTTGTGTGTGAGTCCAGCCATCGTGCCTCCACAAGAGATTAATGCCAGTAAGTTATTCTAATACTAATTATATTATGTAGTAATGATGTAAACCAAAAACGAAAGCTTGTAACTAGATTTGGTTCTGGACCTTTTGGAAGCACTTTGTCTTTTGTTAAAGGTAGGGAAATGTTAATTTTCAACTGGTGATATGGGTGTAAACCTCTGGATGTGTATGCCAGAGGCCTCATGTCTGTGAGAGGTCCAAGCCAATGTAAATTTCCCTGCTTGGCTTACCCTACCATTATCTGTAAAGTGGTTTGCAACCCCTGTTATGCTCCACCAAACACTCTTTCATGGTTAAAATAATGGGAATCTTATTGATGGTCGGTGTTAAACTTTTTTTATGTGTATTTCCAGTGCATTCGACCCCAAGAATTGTGGATTGTCAGTACAAGTAGCTTCTAGGTGTCCCATTCCACAGAGTTCTTTGTCCAACCCATGTTTAGTCACTGACACGTGACAGCGCACATAAATTGATGAGAAAATGTTGCATTAAATTATGAACTTGTAAGATAACAGAAAAAGTACTTCATAGGAATGTCAAAGTTCAATAGTATGATTTTTAAATTTCCAAATAATTTTTAAGCCATTTATTTAGGTTGATGTATTCACACGTTTTTGTTTATATCAAGGGACCCTTGCTCTGAAAGAGTTTGGGAACTATTGCAATAGTTAATCTATGAAGCATTCAGTCTTAACTGTTAATTCATTCCTAGTATAGATGATATGCTATGCTGTGTGCCTGTGTTTAAGCTGCTATTAGAAAGTAATGTTAATGCACTGGACACTTGGTAAGTTTCTGCTGAGTTTGATTTGGTTTGTCCTGGTCCGTCACACTAGCAGTAGTATAAAAGATTATCACCTCCATCCAGTGTGATTGATAAATGTTTTTTCTCCTTTCTAATCTTTCGTCCTTGACATGTTTTGGTTGGAGCGACCATCCGCAGAAGAACATATCAAAACATGCGGAAACTACTATTACAGTGTGGTTGGTCATTATCAAAACATGCAGACAATACTATTACAATGTCATGAATATAAAATCTTATCCTTTAACAGTTACAGCAATGTGCCTGAATTTTTAAAATATTTATAAGTTATTGTAATTAGTCTATTTACAACTTTGAAAAAATCTAGAACCAATTTGGTTCATGTCCTTTATACTGCTTCTCTTTAAAGGAAGATGAGTGTCTACCACATCGTGGTTCCGTTGGTTGACGAATAGGACTCCCTAGTGCCGTCTAGTTGTTTGGGCCATGTTTTGTTGTTATAACAACAACAACATGGTATAAGTTGAGGAATTAATATTGTGGTTTTCTTAAAGAGTAGCTGTGAACTCAGCATGGTGGGTAACAAGTTAGCTGATCCTCAGAGTATACAGTGTGTTCCTAAAAGAATGGTGGGATTTCATTGCCGTATATCTCCGTCAGTTTTTGCTGATGAAAAGCAAAACGTATATGGATTAATAACATGGTTCTCAAATTTTCATTTTGTATATCACACTCTTTCCTAGTTCCATTTCCGACAGTTAGGCAAACGATGGATTGGACGTGCTGCAGGTGAAGATGTCCCCTTTCTCCAGTGGCCACCCCGGTCCCCGGGCATAACTCCATATGATTTCTTCTTGTGAGGGTATGTGAAGGACATGGTTTATGTACCCCCATTGCCCCAATCATTCTAGGATCTCCGAAACAATCAATCGTGCTATGGAGACCATCACATCTGAAATGCTGCAGCGGGTGTGGCAGGGATTGGACAATCGCATTGATGTGTGCCGGGTAATGAAAGGTGCGCATACAGAGGCACTTTGATGGGTGCACATAAAATTTGGACAGTTAAGCTTCTGATTGACGCATGTTATGATTGTACATGGCAAGAATATATATATGTATCTGAAACCCCACCATTCTTTTAGGAACACCCAGTATAATCTGTAAGTTAATATGTTGTGATGTTTCAGGTGGCTCCCTTCATAAAGTGGCTCGAAGAAGCTGATGAAGAGTCTGATGAATCACAGAGTGATTGAATTGTGATTTAAAATTGCTAAATGCTCATTGTTATTGTTCTTGATGCTTCGTACTTTAATAAACCCACAAGTTATAAATTCCAAAAATCATTTATTTGTGAACAATGACTAATAATCTGTATCAGTAACAGTGTAATTTAATGTTCTATTTTTAGGCAGATTGTTGTAGGGAAGAACATAGATTGAGGGTATTTTGGAACTGTGTTCGAGGATATTTGTACCTAAGAGAAAGGAATAATGAGAGGCTGGAGAATATTATAAAATGAGGAGTGTAATTCTGAATATCTGTGCAATTTTAACATGAAACATCTTTGCTGTTATGCTTGTATTAATTTTGGAGTGATGAGCCATCCAGTGTAAACAAGATATCTACAGTAAATCAACACAGACTGGTATGATAATAAATTCATGGCCCCTAGGAGAACATAAAAACCAGATTTGAAAATTTACTTCACAGATTACACGAAATACCCCTGCATGACACTAACAAATTAAAATAATGTAACAGTATCATCAAAATACCTGAAAACAGTGGATACAGGAAACAGAAAATAACTATATGAACAACAAAAGAGAAAAAGGATAACAAACATAAACCTCTGTCTTACTGTATTACTTTGAATATAAGATACATTCAGTTTTTGAATGTGGGTTTTTGGGAAAAAAGTTAGTGCACATTCCTCAAATTTGACACATCTCAGTTTTCAGTGGAAAGAAATATCTAAAATGTGCATCTTATATTCAAAGTAATGCATTATTAATAATTAATATCAGGCAACTTGTTGAGATAAATATTACCCTTCTTTTCCTTGCAGACATTTAACAAGGTCCCAACAGAAAAATGTATCAATCAGAAAATTCAAATTAAAACAAGAAACCTTTTTACTGATGTAAACATTACACTTTTGACCTACTTTATAGTCTGTGACAGACTTATATGCAAAATCAGAAATCACTGTAAACAGACTCATATCACAAGGCTGTTTCTTGTAGAGAGGCCTGGCCACATATTCTAAATTCAAGGTCCATTCCCTTAAAAGATGTAAGATGTGCACAGAGAGAAACAAGTGCAAAACGGCAGACAAATTATACTACAGTGTGCTGTAAGCAGCAGAATGTGGGTTTCTGTTTGGAGGAATCATTCTAAAGTACTGTTCAAAGGCACACTACTGGGTTAAAGTGAATGTAAGTGAACATAAAGTACATTTCAATTTAAAGATTTTATATACAGGAGTAGGGCAAAATAATGGAAACACAATAGATACTGTGCAAATTTCTTTATTAATATGGTATTGGACCACCTTTTATCTTCATTACAACAGCAGTCCTTGGAATGGTCTTGTACACGTTTTTAATTGCCTTTAGCAGAATTTAAACCATTCTTCTTGACGAACATCTTCAAGTTGCTTTAGGGATGTTGAAGGTGGAAATCTGTTCGTCACTCTGAGTTTCCAAAACTGAACAAAGTGGTACAGTGATGTTCATATCTGGTGAAGGAAAATGTTGAAGTTCACATTCATGCGTATTCGTTGTAGTGGGAACATGTTTACTGAGCAGTTGCCTAGCAATGAACATCTGCTCTGATTTCACTGTTCTGGCTTTCAGCCCAAAACTGACACCCCATTCTAATTTTGGAGTATGTAGTATCAGCAGTAATGTCAAAGCATCATAAGAATATAGTGCTGGTACTAAACAGCTATCCTATGTGAAAAGTAGTTGATGAGGTGTCAAACAGAATTTAAGAGAAGTTTTGAAGTAATTCAGTGTCACATAAATCTTTGTTGCTATGACAGTCAAACAGCTTAAAATCAAAACATGGGTTGAATGTGTCGGTCTGGCCTGGTAAGTGATAAAATTGTGCATTTTTAGGCTCCTGCACATCCTTGCTAAAGCAGTACAGTGTAAAAGTGCTAGTCTGTACAGTTGATGTGTGCATGCTAGAAGGAACAGATAAGCCTGTCCTCTCTGTCCCAAGGGGGAAAGGTGTTAAGCCACAGATCTCTGGGTGCAGCTGCTTTAACCTTTTAAAGCTCAGTGGTACCATATGCTCCACCTACTTTAACATACTAGAACTATGCATCCTGCTCATAGAGTGTATTTGTGGTTTGTAGGGATTTTGCAGTGATGGTGGCAGTTTTCCAAAGCTGCATTTACCAGTAGATATTTGTAGAGGAAAAGTTATATGTTCAGTGTGAAGTACAAACTGAAGTTTAGTGTACTCTGCATAAGTTGTGTTTTTAAAGGGTTAAAATATGTTGTCACACCATAATTTGCCAGTAGTTCCTAAGAGGAAGGGGTAATTTTTAAAGAAACAGAATCTTATGTGAATGAGTGCAGATTTTCTAGCCTTTTGATAACTGTGGGCGTTGACAGAAGTAAATTTTATTTCATCATGGCCCCAGATAATCATGATCCTCTCTCAAACAAGAAAATGATATATTTATGACAGAATGGCTGATGAAAAGAGTACCAAAATGGATTATGCAGTGAAAAGATGAGTCAGACCTGTGCTTAACTAATTAAACACTACTGTGTGAAGATGTATAGATACATGTTTTCTTGAGTTTGGTACTAGTTTGTGGTGTGTGGTCGGCTTAACGCCCTGGTTGTGTTACACCTGGGGAAAGATCCCAGTACCTATTGGATAGGAATGTGTTATACAGTAGTGGTTCTCAACCTTTGCCAAACAGCGGCCCGGTAAATAATATTTTTTGTATAAGACGAAGGCCCGACGGTTGATTAACACATAACACTGTTATACAGCATAATCTGAATATCTGAAAGGAGCCCCAAACCCCGGAAGATCATGGAAGATGAAACGAATAGGAAAAATACAACGGCACCTAGTGGATATTGGGAAAACTAAGATGCTATCATCTTAGACCTAGACGTCATGGACTATGAAACAAACGACTGCCAATTCGCGAAAGTGTTTTCGTGCAACAGGATAGGCTGTTGGAAGGTGAAGAATTTGCAGCATGTGGGCCATGTGGTTGTTGTGTATAAAATTCGAAGTCTGAGATATTTGGAGACCGGTAGCTTGATTAGAGGTTGTGGCTGGAAAATGGGAAGTCGTAAATTAAAAGAAGCGTATGTATTATTTGTAATTGTAAGATAATTAGATATTGTAATGTGTTCTCAAACGGTACTTTTATGTAGAATTATTTAATAGGTTAATTTTATGTTAGTTTTCGTGAAGGAATGCCTTTTTATGATGTGTGTCCCATAATTAAAGACATATAATTAATATACTATGGCTGATGCTGAATTTTTTTTTCAGGTTCGAAGTTGATTCAAAATATGGTGCTTTTTACACTGGTGGACAAGTTCAGGTAATAACTCATAATACACTTGTAATTTATATAATGTAATGTAATGTATAATATAATGTAATATATAATAATAATGCTGGTATATATCCATTACAGTTTTTTCCTTCTACATCAGAGGTGTTGCATTTATGTAAAAATAATGTTCTAGAAATGTATAAGGAAAGAATATATGTATGGAAATTCCTGTAGTTCATTAAGTAATTATAAAAAATAAGCTATTCCTGTAATAGGCCGTGGAGGTCCATAGGGCTGTGAGACGTTGACGTTACCACATTTTCTAGACAATCGGCTTGAGAACTTAATATGTAGAATGCAAAAAGCCAGTTCCATGAACATCTACAAGTGAACTGTTAATAGTGTAGCCCAAAGAATTATGCGGGATATCAAGATGTAAGATGACCCAGAAGAAGATGGGAGGATTCATTCTGGGATGGAATGGGTCAGAAGTTTCCCTTGCTGCTGCTAATGGTGAATATGTGGAATTTGAAATATCAGTGGACTGTTTGTCTAGGTATTTACTGAATGTGATATGCTGTACGGTGGCGTGCGTAACACCCAGCTTTCTGGAATCTGTGGTGTCCATATATCTTTACCTATGTGTCTATCAGTGTATGAGTTTTGCAGTTGTTCATTCAGTAGCCCTCTCTCTCCTTACCCCATTTTAACTGTTGTAAGGAAGAAGTAATTTATGTTTCATTTATTCATTAGTTTTTTTTTTTTATTTAATATTGCTACCATTTGTCAAAGCTTTATATCATTGTACTGGAACATGTGTCTTTTGAAAGCCTATGCCAGTTTTAATGTTTGTGCTTCTCTGAAAATGAACTCTTTTTCCCTCATATATTTTTAGAGCAACATGACAGAACTTTGAGTAATATCCATTTATGGAAGGAGTATCATATGACAGTGTGTTTGCAGTGCTTTGCCATAGAAAGCAGCGCATCAGAACTGTAAATCTGTGTAGCTTGTAAGCTGTTGTATGGATTATAATGTTTGCTTTTGTACATAAAATCGTGCATTTAAGAACAACATTGTGCATTTTCATTGATACCTTTTTCCTGAATTTATTTGTCAGTAGAATTTGTACGTAGACTGTAAGTTCAGGCAAGAAGTAGGGCATCAGATTGGCATTATATGTATGAAAGAAATTTAAGTTAAGACTGTTTCCATATTATCTTAAAATTATTGTGAATAATGATTGTTCTTTGTCTTATTGCACATTGTTTGAATGCTAGGAGGTGAACTCTCATGATAGTCTGGGTACTGGGAATTCCAGTATTTTGTTCTTATGCAAATATATTAATCTCTATAGAGCACATTTATTTAGGCAAATTGCGGAAGCAGAAGACATTATATATATATTTTATACAACCGATTTAGTTATTTGTCAGTCCTTGTGTCACTGTTGGTTAAACCTGCTATGTTAGCAAGTTTCCTCCTCAAACAAAGTTGCTGTTGTCAATTTCAGTGGACAAGCGATGGACAAAAACTCCTCTGTCAGTGTGGAGGAGTAGTTAAAGTGCTGGATATTGAGCAAGGTCGTGTCACTACTTCAGTTGGTGTGAATGAAGAAGACAGTGAGGACACAATTAACACCTTCTCATTGAGTCCTGACAATGAAAAAATTATCTCAAATCACAGGAGTGGACTTCTCAAGCTCTGGAACTGGAGAGGTGTTGTTGACTTTAAATTTTTTACTGTTTCTTGAATAAGTGTTTTGTTGTTTGTGTTTTCTGTGATATAACACATTTATGGTCATTATGATAACATAACAAAGTAAGGGTTCATGGCTTGATAGTGTACAGATAAAAATGTAGATAAGATTCCATGCATTTAAGTCATCAACATTGGAAGAAAGATACCATATTTTCTGGGCTATAAGCCACATTGCTTTCCAAAAATGTATGCTTTTGTAATGAGAATGTGGCTAACAGGGTATTCTTATAGAAAGAAAGGTCATTGGATGGTCTATACCTGGTAAGGATACATAATTTGTTGTTATGACCAGGAGATAATGCTTCAGCCGTAATGAAATGATAGGGTGATAGGAACATATTCGTATCAGTGTTACCGATTAGTCGAGTTGTAATGCAAATGCAACATACCTAAGATTTTGACAATTTTAGACCCTCTTATCTACTCAAATTTAATTAATACTTTTAAAGCAATGTATGTAACTTCGTGAAGCAACATGAAACTTGCAGCTTGAACTTGTGAGTGGCTTATATCAGACAATACACTTAATTGTTTGACTCATGTTTGAGCTTCTTATATCCTTTTTATCTGTAAGAAATTGCTTGCTTGCCCCAGTATCATCATGGACATGACAGAGGGGGAATAGTACTGTAGCTGTGTTGGAGGGTTGGAGGTGAGGTTCTGTCATTCTGTAGCTGGCAGCCTTCATCACTCAGTTGTCATAAAATGTACATTCTTTTTGTATGATTTCAGGTTCTCACAGTGGTGGTTATGAAGAGTTCTGGTTTCTGGGATATAGCGCCATGTATACTACATTGTGCGTTCAAGTTCAAGTTTTTTTCTCACACAATAATCATACAAAAAATTTGAAACTTCTGTCACTTTTCAATGTAATCTCCCTGTAGCCGTACACATTTTTCACAACGTCGACGCCACGATTCCATGGCCGCTGCAAACGCTTCTGTAGGAGTCTGTTTTGACCACTGGAAAATTGCTGATGCAATAGCGGATTGAAAAACGGCATCCATGTCTCATCCATTGTCACAGTTGATGAAAAGAAAGTCCCATTCATGCCTTCATCATTGCCATGCGTGCAGCCTTGTGGTCATCCGCCAAAATTCGTGGAACCCACCTGGAGGACACTTTCCGCATTCGCAGGTCTTCATGCAGGATTTTGTGCACAGATCCCACGGAAATGCCAACTTTGGGGGCGATGTTTTCCACACTCAATCGGCGATCCTCCAAAACAACTTTCTCAACTCGCTCGACCATGTTGTCAGACCGGCTGGGGCGAGGCCGAGATTGTTTTGGTTCATTGTCACATGATGTTTGGCCTTGTTTGAACTGTCGCACCCACGAATGCACATTTTTCACATTCATGACACCATCACCACATGTCTCACTCAACTGGCGATGAATTTCGATGGGTGTCGCACGACGCAAGTGGAGAAAACGAATGATTACTCGCTGTTCTTGTAACGAAAACGTCGCCATTTTAAGTATCAAAAACACTCCTCACACTCGCCGCTACCACTAGAGTTCTGTGTGCTGTAGAGTTCTGCCATCTCTGTCACGCATTCACAAAGAGTGCACACGTATTTTAAACAAAACCGCATGTGTCTATCTGCTCCCAGTCCTGAGAAAAAATCGGAGACCTTAGAACTTGAACTCCCCTCGTATGTAGCATTATATCTCAGAAGACAGAACTCTTTATAAATTTGTTTTTTTTTGTTGTTTTATTTATATTTTATGCAAATTATTTGTGTTTTATTTATTTAAATCATATTTTATTTTTCAGTAAAAATAACTGAACATTAATTAGTAAAAAACAGAAAAGTTCTCAATATTTTTATCGTGACACAGTTCAAAATCTTGAAAGATAAGTTAGCCTTCCTCTTGCATTGATTAAACAGTGTCATTAGCTTTAGTTATTATTAAACACAAGGGACTTATTACAGCTATTATGGGTCATATAAAGCTTTGTCCTGATTTCCCCATCTCAGAGATTAGCATATTTGGATTGGAGGTATGGTCTAAAATGGATATGATACCTGTTAGTATACTGTATGATCTCAATAACGGGCTCATCTCAAGACATTGTAATGCTAGACTATTCATCTGCAGACAGAAACTGCTTGAAATATTGGCTGTGATTATACTGAATATTTGTGTTCATGTTATTTTGCCTTGGGAAATAAAAGTTGGAGACTGATGAATTAATTTCTTTCAGAAGACAAGACTTTCCATTATTTACCAGTCTTATGAAAGCATGGCTCTCTGTTCTCGGAATTTTGCATAATCTGCACTCTGTCACAGGGAAGCACACCATGGTGCTAGTACAAGATGTTCAGTCATTGAGGAAACTGGGGCAGCTGCGTGAGTTGGATACAGTATCTCTCACAGATTGCTGCTGTAACTGCCGATAGCAGAATGAGTCATCAGCGCTGATAAATGCGCACACTCTCGCTAGTGTAGAGCGGATGGATTGTTTTTCTGAGACTATTTCCTCACATCAGTTTCTGTACATGCACACATTATAAGAATACCGTAAAAAGATAATGCAAACTTACCTTTCTTTATAACAGGTGCTGAAAATGACCCCCTTCTGCTTGCAAACATGCCTTGCATCGCATAAATAAATTATGTGACACTTACTGAAGTTGGTCCATGGTAATTGAACTAACGATTTTGGTTATTTCATTCTCTTATTTTATACGGGTGAAATTTGATTAATTTTGTGGCTGTGAAAACAGATCTTAGCGAAACACCGGTTTTCTGTGCTAAGCATCTTAACGATTTTTGGGGTTTGATCTGATCAATATCCCGAACCTTTTCTTCAGTCAGCACAATCCTCTTCGATTGCTACTTTATGTCGCACAGTGAACCTGTGGCCCGCCACTTTTTCACAAGCTTGGATACGTTTTCTCGAAGTTTTTTCCTTGGAAAAATTTTGACAATAAACACTGTTCAGTAGTGAACTTAATTTCAGTACAAATGTCGACCACCTATCGAAATCTCTAACACAGACTGACTATTACTGCGACTTAACTGTAGTGACAAGATCACACCACCTGACCGTGCACGTTTATCAGCGCTAATGACTCATTCTGCTATTGGCAGTTACAGCAGCAATTTGTGAGGTATGTTGGGCCGGTTCAGCGGTGTTGCAAAGTTTCCTCCTTGATTGAACACAGTGTATATTTTAAATGAAATTTATATAAAAACGTTTAAGACAGTTTTAAACTGAATTTATGATTGACACTTGAGCCAGGATAGCTCATTCAGTAAAATCACTCTCTGGGCTTGATTCGTGGTAGGACTAGAGATTTTCCCTTTATTACCATCTTCAGACTGGCTCTGGAGCCCACCTAGCCCTCTGTGTGAAGGTTACTGGAGATTATTTGTCCAAAGGGTAAAGTGGTTAGAGCATGAAACTCGCCTCCATTTAGTATTGAGGTTCAGAATGCATGGAGCTTCACTTCCATGCCTCAGTATGTCTTCATGTGTTCATGGATTGGAAAATACGCACAAGGACAGGTTTGAGTTCCTTTATAACATTATTTAAATGTAATTCAAATAATGGTTCCAAATTTTCAATATAGAGAAAAAAAATGGATAATATTTGCTTGTACAGTTGCAAATTATTTCAGCAGATGGGAGCCTGGTAAAGCAGTGGAAGAGTATTCACAAAGGTCCAGTGTCACAACTTGCTTTCAGCAAGGATGGAGTGCTACTGGCTAGCGGTGGAACAGATTCCAGTATTCGAATCTGGGACCTTCAGCATCAGGCTTGCACTCACAATTTGCGAGGAGCTCAGGGGGTCATCAGGTTTGGAATTTTATTGTACTTTCAGGCAGAGAATTTTTTTCAGTGAGGAGATCTTGCAAGAATGTAATTTATAGACAAGCACTGATGGTATAAATAATTTTTGGTTGAGCAGGAATGTTTTTGTGATGTATGAGTTTAATTGAATAGATTATATTGTTATTGTTGATAAAGTAATCAGGATTAACTACACCTGAGTAGAACATCAGTTGCTGGTATCTGTTGATTTATTAATTAGAAAATGATTGCTGCAATTTAAAACATTTTATTTTCCTATCTCCTCTTTAAGAGGACTGAAGACTACAGTATATGAAACTAATAAAGATCATGAGGATAATTGAGGAGCTACTTAAAATGAAAATTAGCGGCTCAGATCTAGAAACCCAAGATTAACGGCTGTGGGAATCTGTTGCGTTGACCTTGTAACACCCTTTAGCCACAAAAGTTGGCAATCGCTTCGCTGACAAATGGTGGTCGCTTGGTTGGTATAGTTCACTTGCAGACTAAAGTTTACAGAGTTTTTTTAAATAGTAATTGTAAATTAAGAAAACCACACACCAAAGAACTTCTTCAATTATTTTATTAAAGATGTATCAGAAGTGTATGTAGACATCGTAGTTAAACCTCAAAAGGAATGACCATTTTGGAAACCTGGGTGAGTATGATATTGAAATACCTATGAAGGCAAAGGTTCTAAAGAGATGAGATGGCCTGAACAGGTTCAGGACAAGGTAATTTGCCTGGTTTTGTGAACATGGTGATGAAACTTCAGGTTCAATAGGAGCAGGGAATTTCTTTAATGGGTACTCATGGAAGACTGTATCATGAAATTAGTTGGTTGGTTAGTAGGCAGCAAGGAGATAAATATAGAAACATTTTGAATTTTAGGCCACAGTCCAGCTTTGTATATGAACATTTTTTCAATTATTATTTTATGATATTTGATTTCCTAACATTTCAGCATGTGAAACAAGCCAAGTCCCATCATTGCACATTTTTTAATGCCACAGAAGTCGTTTAAATTTGCTGTATGAAATTTTTGCATTGTTTGACAATGCCTCATTTCCATGGAAAAAGGTAGGAATATATTTGAATGGAGATGAACATGACCTGTTTTAAGGCCTTATTTCATCATTTGCAGAGTCAGAAGGAAAATACTGGAAAACTTCTGTCATTTCAACCAGTAACCATGCCAACTTTCAGACTGGGTCTTTAGTTACTAGTGAATAAAATTAGAACTGAATATTTACACGTTTTGCTGTCAGGGTATAGGAAAATCTTGTTCAGCCTGTGCAGAGCATTTTATGGTCTGTATGTAGCATGAAGTAATGAATGCTGTACATGTAATCTTGCAGCTGACAGTTGCATCTCAAACTTCTTGATTTGCAAACAATTTTAATACTTTTAGTCTGGAGATAGGGACTGGCTCTATTTATTGGACCAAACTGAGTAGGTTTTACCTGAGGACGGGAACAGAATCCAGTCTATGAAATGTTGTGTTTTGAAAAATAAACAGGACTTTTTTTTTTTTAGAAAATAGATAGGACAGTGGATAATGTCCAGAAACATGATACAAGGGTAAGTCAATAAATAAGTTACAAATGGCTATAGAACATTAAACAAATAAGAGTACTGATTTGAACAGTGCTTTTATTTCTCAACATAATCTCCCTGTACATTGAGGCACTTGTCCCATCATTTCACAAGCCCCTGAAAACCAGCAGCATAAAATTCTTTGGGCTGCTGTCAGAACCAGGTGGTGACTTCCCTTTGTACAGTTTCATTGTCAGGAAAATGTTCAGCTGAAAGATGATGTTTAAGAGGGCCAAACAAATGGAAGCCGCTTGGAGCAAGACTCATCACCTGTGACAGTTTGGGCTAGCATATCGTGTCCTTCATCGTGGTAGCGATTGAGATGCTGTAATGCAAGACCCATTCTTTGCATTTTGTGTTGTGGGGTCAGCATGCGCAGCACCCATCGTGCACAGACTTTGTGAAAACCTAACCTGTCATACATTATGATGTAGGCTATGCCATGTGAACAACCAATAGCAGTGGCTAAAGTGTCTGTAGTTACCCTTCTGTAGGGAAGTCACCGCCTGGTTCCGACAGCAGCCCAAAGAATTTTATGCTGCTGGTTTTCAAGGGCTTGTGAAACGATGGGACAAGTGCCTCAACGTACAGAGAGATTATGTTGAGAAATAAAAGCATTTTTCAAATCAGTACTCTTATTTGTTTAAGTTCTACATCCATTTGTAACTTACTTTTTGACTTACCTATGTACTTGTAATTTTAATACTTCTTGGCTGATTACATATTTGAAACACCATTTTCAGAGTTACTTTATGAGAATGACTGTATAATGAGTCCAGCTGCATGGATTAATAGCCTCATATTGTAACTGTTGGTTGTGGATTCAGCTGTTTATTACTTTTTTGTAATGATGCACCAAACATTTATCACAGAATCAAGCCATTAGATTGTAACATTAGTCAGAAATTTTGTGCATAGATTTTATAAAATATTGCATGACTGTCAGCACTTTTATATTTCATTCACAGTTTCATGGGTAAGGTTACTGGTGTGACAAATTTTACTTCTTATTGAGCTGTTGATTATAACAAAGGAGATACAAAGTTCTGAAGGCCACTTACCAGTAATGACTACTAATCAGTGTCCTAATGACATGTTTAAAGTATCATTGTATGTATTCTTGATTACTTTTGCATAAAATCCTGCTGTAAGAAGTAGATGGATTGTGTGAACAGTGAAGAGGAGGCCAGCTTTTATTGCTATCTGCCCTGCATTTGTTTATTTTCATTCTTTAGTTGTGTGAATTTCAAAGGAAGGCATTGAATAGGAATTAAATAGAATTCTGCACATGATTTTTAAAGAAAGTAGTTCTTCCTCTGTGGTCTAGTGGTCAGCATTCCTGGCTACAGATACAGAGGTCTGGGTTCGATTCCCAGTGTTACCAGATTTCTTTCGGAGTAGTAGTGGGTCTGGAACGGGGTCCACTAAGCCTTGTGATGATGATTGAGGAGCTATTTCAAGGAAATAGCGGCTCCGGTCTAGAAAACCGAAATTAACGGCCATGGGGATTCGTTGTGCTGACCACACAACACCCTCTATCCGCAAAAGTTGACACTAAACTTCGCCGACAAGTGGCGGTCACTCGGTCGGTATAGTTCACGTGCAGACTGAAATCACAGAGTTCTTTTACTGCAAATTTGGGTCCTTGCAGTGTGGTGCAGTTCTACAGCAATATGGTGTTTGCTGCTGGTGATGATGCTGTTATACGAGCTTGGAACTACAGCACTGGGCGGCAGCAGTTGGCATTGTCTGGTCACTTCAGTAAGGTTACAGCCCTTGTATTCCACGAAGATACAAACCAACTGCTGAGGTAAGGCACACATTATGAAAATTCATGATATTTCTGCAGGTGAATTTTAAAAAGCATTTTTGAAGCCCACCAGTTAATTTCTTCATGAAGAGTTGTATCTTCTGGGATGTAATACTGTGTAGTCCTTTGAAAGTTAAGCTTGCTACCTGCTTCACACTGGTGTCTTGCTTTGCTCATTCTTCAACCCTGAAGATGGAGGCAACATGTTTGTCTGAAACAGCACTTGACTTTCTATGGACTACAAAGCATTATATGGCAGAAGATACAACCCTTCATAACCACTGCTAAGCCTGAAATCCTACATAATTTCTTCGTGTTTGTCAGTCTGCTCTCAAGTAATGTTCCAGACTGTGTGGGCTGTTGTGGTATACTGACGCTAAATTTTGGTGAGCTCGCTAGAGAAATCTGGGTTATTTCTATGGTATGTATATTTTCCAACAATAAATGGAGACTTTGCATAAACAAATATCTGAATTATACAACTGAATTTGAACCTTTCTGATATTATTCATGCAAAATGAAAAGTCTCTGAGTGTTATATTTTGCCTGTAGATTTCATGAAAACTTCATAAAAGTGTTCAGTATTCCCATTCATATCTGTTGGACACAGAAACAAACCATTACTTCAGAATTACTATTAAGTTCCATTATTGACTCTTTCAGTTGTGGTCGTGATAGAGTCATCATACTGTGGGATCTCCCATCTGGAACTACAGTGCGTACGCTGCCTGTGTTTGAAGGTCTGGAGGGCTTAGTTCTACTCCCTCCGAAGTTCAGGCTTCCTGGTTTCAAGAAGAAAGTAAAGGGGGGCATTCATGTAGCTGCAGCAGGCGAAAGAGGTATTTATCATGTCAGAGTCTGAATTTAATTTGGGTCTGTGAGAGTGTATTGCTAACAGAAACATTGCTTCATTTGTGCATACACACGTCTTCTTTTTTTTATTTGTTAATTAAAAACTGGGGGTAACTCAGAACTTAGTTACAATTATAACTTGTTGGATAACTAACAATTAATTTTTTTCTAAACCTAATATACTATGTAAATTAAAACTAAGTCATTTCCACTGAATTACTTTAACATTTTACTAGTTCGAACGGTTTCTTCCATTTGAGTTGTCTAATGATATTGTTCACGTTGAGAAGTCTGGACACTTCAATGTTGACATAGTTTTGGAGTCTGTTTTCATGAGGGGTGGCGGACTTAGCGATGATATCTGTAATCGTCTTGATCCCAAGGTCATGATGAAGGTCACCTTTACGAACATACCATGGTGCATTGACAATACACTTTAGCACTTTGTTCTGATAAAGACACACATCTTTATTTAAGGATAGCTTTACGTACAGTCTGCAGGAATGTACTCCTTTCTGTCTCATGTATTTTGGATATTTGATCTTTCTAGATTTATCTTAGGTGATCAAATCAAGAAGGATGAGATCTGCATGTCATGAAGTGCACAAGGAAGAGATCAGCTTCTCAAGGATTTAGCTTCATAGAATTAACAGTGGCACCCCCATTTGATGTTCCTCAACTTAAAGTGTTCTCTTATTGAACACTAAATTTCAGTATTAGAATTCTTCCACTTAAAATTTTCCTCAGTTTAATGTTCAACTCCATTGCTCCCCAAAAGAATGTTAAATGGGAGTTTCACTATTGTTAGGTTCATTGTTGGCACCTAATGGTTTAGAAGTAAGATCCTAGCCTGCATTGTCTTTAGTTTGAGATGGATATGTCTTCTATACGAATAAGATGTAATCAGTATTGCATTTGTTTTGCTTCAGCCTTGAATGGAATAATGCTTTGCTATTATTCAATTAAGAATCTGTTATCTTCCTCTTTAACAGACACACTGACAGACTGACTGACTGAGTTACTGACTGACTGAACTAACCAACCAACTACATGGAGCAGAATCCTTCTTGAGAAGGTATTAATTTCTCAGATACTAAAGAAACTGCCTATTCTGTATGTAACCTGAAAGTTCTTTGCTGTTTTCTTAAGAACCTGCATATCTTTTTGCCTTCTATATAGAAACTCAGACATTAAATCATAGAAAACTGTAGTTTTATCCTTTTTATATAGGTAGGAAAAGTGGCCTCCGTAGTCTAGGGGTAACGTTTCCACCTTATGACTCAAGGTATGCAGATTCAAACCCGGTGGAGGTAGTGGAATTTTTAAGGGCGGAAAAATTCAGGGAACAAGTCCTCCGGGAGGTACTTTAAGCTGTGTGTCCCATGTCCTAGATTTACGGCACGTAAAAGTTCCTCATGTCTCTAGGAGACCTCTGAGCAAAATTAGGCAAAGTTTCCCGCCCAAGTAGTTTCCAATTCCTCCAGTAGATGGGGAAGTATCGGGGACCACTGCCAGAGAGGGCCGACCTCGCTGGCAGAACGGGGCTGATAGTGAGCACCAGTACTGGAGGACCATGGCGACTAGTAGAAATTATAGGGAGACGCACAGTAGATTAACAGTTAGTCGCGGTGCATGGGGAAACTCACCCCCCTCCAATAATAATAATAATAATGGGTGGGAAATGTAGTGTGTTTAGAAACATACATTGAAGGTGTTTGAGAGTAGGGCACCAAAGAAAATGTTTGAACATGTGAAGGGAAATACAGGGAGAATGGAGACAACTGTGTAATGAAAAGCTTCATAATTCCTACCCTGCAGCAGATATTACGGTACTAAAATTGAGGATGAGCTGGGCGAGACATGGAGGAGATTAGGAATGCTTAATAAATTTTAGTTACAAAACCTGATAGGGAGAGACCACTTGGAAGATTCATATGGAAATTAATTAAAAAAATTGTGTACATGAGTGTGGACTGGTTTCATCAGGCTCTGGATAGTGTCCACAAGCAGGTTCTTGTGAATTCAGCAATGAATTGTTAATTTCTATAAAAGACGGATTTTCTTGAGGAGTTCTACCTATTGGGGTATAACACCATATAGCCATTGAAAACTGACTGAAGTTTTAGAGGAACATGTCGCCTCCATCTGAGGGGTTGAAGAATAAGACTAGCAAGAAACCAGCATGAAGCAGTTAGCAACCAGAGCTCCGCTTGCCATATTCTCTGACCTAGAAGAAGGAGGTGACATGTTGCTCTGAAACATTGCTTGACTTTCAGTGGCCTACATGGCAGTATATCCCAGGGGGTAAAAATCCCCATTACCACAGCTGTGAGAACATGAGTTCCTACAGGGAATTTCTTGACCAACTTCTAAAGTACAAGACTTTTGCATTGATTCAGTTAGTGATTTGGAGCCTAAGTGGACATGTGTGCAATGATATTGCAGGAGTGGTGCGAATATGGGAGGTTACAGAGGGACTTGAAGTGTTTACACAGAGCAACTCACTTGTATCAAAGGCAACTGAGGAAGGTGGTCTGGCCATTGTTCAGCTGCTGTTTAATGTGGAGAGGTGTTCACTGGCCATTATTTCTGCTGATCATAATATCATCATCCATCAGCTGGCAACATTTGTGTGTGAGAAGCAGGTGAGGCATTCATCTTTTGCTGAGGTAGAAGGGTATTTGTATATTAAGGATAAGTGATGCTCAAACGAGTTTTAGGGTTGGTTTATCTCATATTTCTTGTATTAGCTGCCTCAAGTCAGTTCGTAAGCACAGATGCCCTACACCAGCTTGGAAGGAAAGTGGCACAAGAAGTAATTGGTGGAAAATGAATTTTTAATTTTTAGCTCAGTCAGAATAGTGACTATGCTCTGAGCTGGAAGCCTGGAAAGTTGGGTTTCAATTAGCAGTTGGGGCAGAGATTTTTCCCTCCACAGCACCCCAAAAGTTTGAAGAAATTTAATATTTGGAAGTTTTACTAAGATCTATCACCGTATTTCAGTTTTAATTAAAATTGTGCAGTGTAACCATCACTTTAAATTAAGTCCTGCTTATGTGTTTCTGCTTGCATCTCAAGCATAACTACTTAAATATGTGTCAGAGCAAAAACTGTTTCAAAGAAGAGTTGCAGAGAAAAATTAAACATATTTTGTGTTCAAGATGCTTTTCCATAAGTCTCACCGATACTTTTTCAATAAGTTTTACTGTTTTTTTAAACAATTAAAAAATAATCATGGCATACATTCATTTCCCAACTTGCCTTTTCAGCAGTTACTGTTTGAACTTCCAAACACATTAAGATTACTGATCAATCAACAATGATTTTTGGGACACATCTGAAGATTATTAATTATAATTAAATGAAGCTTCCTCCTGCTTTAGTGTATAGCTTTACATTTATATAAGTATTAATATAATAAAGATATACTGAATAATGTTGCTGAACAGTTGTTCTCGTTCATAACAATTCGTTTTGCATGAAAGCAAATGCTTCAGTTGTTTCAGCAAAAGGTCACAATTAAGAAAAAAATATTTGTGTGCTTATAATTCATATGATTTCAGCCCTGTTGGGTTTGGTGAGTAAATGTGGAAAGAAACACATTTCTCGGTACTTTTACTTGAAGTAATCTGTTTTATGCTAAAGTGAACATTAAAAGATAACATTTATGAATTGAAAGTCTGATGGCAGTAACAGAGTGAATGTTCCAGAATTGTTGTGCTGTGCATATATTTCCAAATTTGTTTTGCCATATCTTTGTGTACTGTTTATGATGACAGAAGATTTAGTAAAATGTGATTGTTTATGATAGAGTAACAGATATACCCTTAATTTAAAAAAGTTCATTATGGAATTTCAAAAAAGAGTTGTGCATATTTGCCTCTGACATCAAATATATATGTTGTGCAGTATGGTGTCCCAATGTGGAAAGTCATGTTCATTTCTTCAGATCAATGAAAGCTTTGTTAGAGTCAAGTAGGGGTTTACAAAACTACCAGAATTTGGTAGTAAGAAAACGTTCTGAATAGAAAACTTGAAGGAAGGATGTCTTGGGAGGTCAAGGATAGGTGGTAAGATAAGATGTGATGGATATGAAGGAAATAAGTTGTGAGGGTGCAGAATGGTTTCAAGTTGCTCAGGATATTGTCTAGTTAAAACCTCTTATGAACACAGTAATGAACCATCTGGTTCCATAAAAGGCAGAACATTTATTTCTCTACTAGCTGAGTGATTTCTTCTCAAGAAGGGCCGTTCCATGGAGTAAATAATATTGGGCATATAATTTTAGACATGTAGTGGTGAAGAATTATCGGATATTTTATTCTGTGATGTCACAGTGCTGACTTAGTATACTTCCGTTACAGTTTGGAAACTGTTTTGCATTGAAAACTAGTAGTATTATTTGGGTTTCCCTGAAAAAGTTCTTCACCTCACCTTTTTCCCAGTTTTGAAGTCTTGTGGAAGCTGTTGAAGCTCTGCAATAAATTATTTTGATCCAGATTTTATTATGTTACACTTTGAAAGCAGTAAACATTGATGTCTGTTTTACCTTTTTCCCATTTCTGTATGTTGATGGTTTTCCCTCTCAGACTTTCGATGTGTTGTAGTTAGTGGGCTTCAGTGATGAAGTTCTTGATCTAGCGCTGCTGGGCACAGGAGGCTGTTACCTTGCAGTTGCTACTAACAGTACGGATATAAAGCTGTATAACATGAAGGATATGGGCTGCCAACTGCTGCGAGGTCACACTGATCTAGTGCTCACTCTTGCAGCCGCTCCCAGCAACCCTTCATTGCTGCTGTCTGGTGCAAAGGTTTGTGATAGTATTAGTTCTGAAGGGTGTTCATATAATTGTAATTATTTTCAAATTTTGCTATGGATAATTTTTAGCATAATCATTTAAGGCATAAAATTAATCTAAATAATGTACAAAACTTGAGTTCCTACCTCACAGGAACATATTACATCACCATCAAAAATACCTACTGGTTAATGTTGTTAGGAGAAGTACTAATTATTCTGAGAATCATTAAAGTCCTTAAATACAGTCTGGCCAGAATGTAGAGCTTTTTTTTTTTTTTTACTTGAAAGCAGGTGATAATATATAGTCATAACTGTGCATGAAAGGGTTAACAACAGAATCAAAGATTTGGCTTTGTAAATTAATATTACCAAACATGATTAACAGTAGAAAGTTACAAAGTTAATAGAAAGTCCGTCGAGTGTAACAATTTGTAGGTCACTTTTTATTATTATTTTTGCCTTACATGTTTTGGTTTGACACAACCATCATCAGAGGCACTTGCTATAATTATGGAAACACTGTCGCTGTTTTTGATGTTCACAATTATGTTTGTCGTAATTATCATCAAAAACAGTGACAGTGTTTCCATAATTATAGCAAGTGCCTCTGATGATGGTTGTGTCAAACCGAAACATGTAAGGCAAAAATAATAATAAAAGTGACCTACAAATTGTTACACTCGACGGACTTTCTATTAACTTTGTGATTGATAGTATAACGGACCAGAATGAAACAATTAAAAAAAAAAACTTAACAGTAGAACTTTAAACAAATAAATTTGCCGCATGGTTGATTTTTGAGGAATAGGGAGTGTTTATGACATAGTTGACAAAGGACCCTTTAATATACAGACTTAATGCATCAGGTATAAATGGATTTATGGAGAACAGTTATATTTTATAACTGTTAATGAAATAATTTTATAAGAATCCCACCCAAAAGAATTGGTTGTTGTAGCTGGAGGCCATTCAAACAGCAGGGTTAGCTCCCTAATAACCACTAAGGTATCAGTGAATTGTAATTGTGAATGAGATTATTTGAGGCTGGTTTGTAAATGTTTTAATAAAATTGGTTTGTTATTTTAATCCTTTGACTGTGATAACCCTCCATAGAACTGCCTGTTGGAAATATTATAGTGTGGATGACCAAAGTGTTGCTAGGTAATGGACCGGTAAACACATGTGTTACACACACGAAACAGTGGAACAACGAGGTTATGAAAACTGCTTCTACGCAGCAGCTCTGTAAACAGATTTATGGGCAGATGCAATGACATAACAGTACAACAGTACTAGTTATCACATGACTTGTTTTCAGTGTTATCTGTGTGGTACCTATGTAATGGAGACCCGTTTAAGCTTAAGTTAGTGGAGACTCCAGGAGGGTTCAGCAGTTTAGGGTATAAGGATGAGAATGTAGTCTGAATTTTGAAGATTGAGTACAGACAGGACAAAGGAGTACAGAGTAATTGAAGACAAGATGACTTCTAGTGATTTGATGTGATAGTTTCTGTGTTGAGATCCATTGCTAAGAGATGATTAGTAGAAACAGAATCCCAGTGCATGTGCATTGATGAACTGTAAATTGTAAAAATCAGTGATAGCGCTGTATTTAAGTGTGATTAAGAGAGATTGTAACCAAAGTGCTAATAAATCCAATTATCAGAACTAGAACCTGTAATTTGATCATGTGTACCACCCTACATGTGACAGTATAACTGCTGCTTGGTGGTAAATGTAGTCGTACAGAAAAACCCACAATATCTTAAATATTCTTCAGACAACAGAACTGTTTCATGTGGAAGATACATTTTTCCTCTATACAGTGGTGTTTCACACTCGATGTCATCTTTGGCAGAAATGCTGTACTAATGATTAGCAGTAAGTCAGTCTCTTTGACCTTGGCAATCTTAATGCAGGTACTCTGAACTGATCTCCTTGACTTGGGCAGTTTTAATGTATATACCGCACGCCTGTCTAGTTGGTACATGGCATGCAGAGGGTTAAAATACTTCCCAGAGCTTTCTGGTTTGTGGATTGTGAAGAACGTATATTTTGGCACCAAACTCAATAAGTATGTTGTCTGTGTAGGACAATTCAGTGCGTCTGTGGCTTATGGATCCAGAGAGTCATGCTGCCAAATGTGTTGGTGTTGGATCAAGACATACTCTCTCTGTGGGTTCTGTTGCCCTCAGTCAGCTGTCTGCATCTTTCTTCCTTTCAGTAAGCCAGGATTTGTGTCTGAAGCTTTGGAAAATACCCAAGAAATTGAATTCAGGTAATTGAGAAGTAGACACGTTGCCTGAATGTAATGTAAATCTTGATTGTGCAGTAAAGCCTCTATAGGATTGCTCAAAGCTCTGATGGTAGAATTTAGGAGATTGTTTAGATGATGACTTGGAGCATCAGATTTAAATAAATAGGTGTCCCATTTACCACTGTTTATGTCATTTGAAACTTGGTTGTTGATTTTTTATATATATTTGTGTGGGGGAGCCTTCGTAACTTCACAAGGTAGAGTTCATACTGCGCTTGCTTATGGCTCACATTACTTATGACAGCATAATAATAATAATAATAATAATAATAACAGCAAAATTAAGTGGCACAGTTTACTAAAGTGGACTGTCATGAATTTTGTGTATGGCTTTTGTGATGGACATGATAGGGCTGCACTGAGGGAATACCAACATTTGGTATCCAAACTGGAAGCAGGCCAGCAACATTCATGCTTATAGTATGGAAATATATTTATGTTTGGGCTGGAATTGTAGATAATATGGTAATATCCTAATTTGACCATATGGGATACTGAATCATCTCAGTGGAAATCAGTACACTGATATCCTTGAAAGAGGACTTCCTCTTTTATTGGAGGATGTACCCATTAATTCTTGAAAGGGAATGTGGTTTCAGCACAGTGGCACTGCTCCACATTTTACACCAAGTGTGTAAATGTTTGGGCAGCTTTTTTCCATAATATTATATTGCAGTATCCTGTGTAAATATAACTTTGTGTTTGCTTTTATGCAATCTATGTCCAGTGTTGGTTACTGTTTTCTCTATTGTCACTGCATGTTTTGGCCTAACTGGCCATCGTCAAGTGTACAGGTTGTTGTGATGAAGGTGTCTGCTGCTCACTGTAATGCCGTTTTGTTTCTCTTATGTAGTTGTATAGGATTAATTCTGGGTTATGTGGGTTAACAGCTGTTAACCCACATAACGAGAAGTAACACCTGGAGATGGCCAGTTAGGATTAAACATGTGACAATAAAGAGAATAAAGATAGAACAGTAACTGATGTTTGCACATAGATGGCATAAAAGCAAAATGCGAAGTCAGAACCACTTTCCAGACACCAATATTCGCTGTGGGTTTCAGTTATCTGGCCTCCACATCCCTATGATCTGAACCAACTTGAGTTTTTCTTATGATGTTGCATCAAAGAAAATATATATCATGGCCTCCTTCATACATATGTTGTGCTAATATTAAGGGTATCTCCAAGAAATTCAGATGACTTGGAAACTGTTTCAATATAGAATCATTTTTAAAACCAAACGTACACTCTGTGGGACATTGATGAAGACTGGACCAGTTAGAGATACACAGCAGACAAAGCACTATGTGTACACTATCCCATGTTATTGTGACAGCTGTTACATGAGCAAAAGTACGCATGAAGGAGCACAAATATAACATGATCCAAGGTCTGCTTGAAAAATCAAAATTAGCCCAACATGCATACAGAGAAGGCCATGAAATGTGCTGGAAGGAAGCAGAGGCCTTGCAGATTGAAGTAAGCACCACCTACAGCAAAAGCAAGGAAGATAGAAGAAGACTACAAGTGATATTTCAATGCAGCAGGATGCTAATCATTAATCATGAAGTGTTCTGCAGCAGTTTTAAAATATAAAAACACTTTTCTAGAAACCAAATCACAAACCATGCAGTTGCATGAGATTATGTCATTATTAGGGGAAATTTATGAGATTGTAGTTTCTTCATATTTTGCTTCACGTTTCACAGAGTAATCATAGATAATATGGTTTTATATACAAATGTTTACAGGATGTGGTTGTGTGTAATATGAAATTTTAAATGCACATAAGAAAATATGAAATCGATATATAATATGATTTAAATGAAATACATCCAAAGAATATTTTATACCAAGAAAATGGAGTGTTGTGATATTTTTAGTTCATTTTTATTATATACTTATTAGTGTTAAAAGAGTTTTTAATGAGTCCAACTGTTAGTTGCTAGATTTTTAATTAAATATAAAAATGATTTTGCTACTTATATATAATTGACAGCAGTATTTAATATGGCATGTTACCTGAGAAGTAAAATATTAAGTACTAATGTTGCAGATGAAGTGCAGATTTTGAATGTGGATGTCACAGAAATTGCTCATGACAAGGACATCAATAGTGTTAGTGTCTCTCCAAATGACAAACTGATTGCTACAGGTTCACAGGATAAAACTGCCAAGGTGAGTTATGTACTTGTCATAACTAACTCCATGGAGCAGCGTCATCTTCAGAAGTTAAGTCACTTGGCTGGTCCTCTGTTTTCTAAAGATTGATTAACATGTTCACAAAAGCTGCCACCCCTGAACCCTGTTTGAGTCAGTTGAATCCAGTCCACACCCTGACATTTTATTTCTTTAAAGTCCATGCATAGGTGAGAGAATAATAATGTCACATGTTTGGAATAGGCACTTCCATGATAATGAAATAACAGCGAGCCGTTGCGTAGACAGTGCCGAAACAACAAACGCGTTTCCCCGGAGATGAACAACAGAAGGCCGTTGACTACCAACGGATGAGATGAAACACGTTACTGCCGTAATCTATAGAGATCGTTCCCGAAGCAACGGATTGCCAAACAAGTGAGATCGAACCTTGGCGAATGGTGTCTCGTATCCGGTCCGCAGAACACCTACATAAGTCGAGAGTGACAGAGCTACAGGACAACAGTTTAGATCTAGTTGCCATACAAGACAGTTGGAACCTAGATGCTATATGATATAGAAGAAGACAGCATGAAGACAGTCTTTCGAAAGCTGCCGCCAGAGACAGTTGAGATCCAACCACGGCCAAGGATAGTTGAGACGTCGTATTAGAGTACTGGGCCAGAAGTCAGACAATATTGCAAGTGACAATAATTGGAAGGTGTGTAAGTGTGAGTGTCCAATAAAGATTCACTAAATCCAAGACCCACGTAAAGTGATTTGTCGCGTGACATACCCAACACGTGACAATATTAAAATGGATCTTAGAGAAATATAATATGGGGGTGTGAACTGCATTCGTCTGACCCAGGACAGAAACTAGTGGCAGGCTCTTGTGAATATGATAATGAACCTTTGGGTTTCATAAAAGGAAGAGAATTTCTTTACCAGCTGAGTGATTGTTAACTGCTAAAGAATGTCTCTGCTCCATGGAGTTAGTTAGGAAACATATTGTCGATTTTTCATGAGTAAATTATTGCATGAACATGTTATATTTAAGGATTTATTGGTGTTTCAGCTGTGGTCTGTAGAGGGACTGACACTTCTGGGTGTGCTGCGGGGACATAGGCGTGGTGTGTGGTGTGTGCGATTCTCACCAGTGGATCAGGTAGTGCTGTCTTCATCAGCTGACTGCACCATCAAGTTGTGGGCAGTATCAGACCTCACTTGTGTAAAGGTAATTTTAAGAATATCAACCATCCATTTACTTTAATCTAAGGCTTATATTATGTCATAGATGTAACTTTGAGCTTCATGCTCCTTTTGACTTTACTGAAGCATTCAAAACTGTCAGTTGGAATTAACACCTTAGGGATACCAGCAGATGCTATAAAATAGTTGAATTATGAGGATACAAGACATTAATTACATTTTGGCTTTGTATAGTCTTTATGTGAGTTCTGATAGATCAGTCAGCATAGGTGCCTGGCTGCTGGCTGGATGATAGAAGTTTGATATTTTTCTCACCATATCTGGACCTCACCCAGCCTCATATCCAGTGGGTGACTGGTTCTCTCCTCAGGTATAAAGGGACCAGAGCATGAAGCTGAACAGTCCGGTCCACATAGGTTGGAAATATATGGACTTAAACTCCCTCTCTGCCATTTGTATTTATTGTGTGATGCTTAATTATACATGTGGACAACTGTACCTTTTTTTATTGATATTGATGTAAATGATTACATTTTGGGAGCAATTGTAATGTTGCAGACATTTGAAGGCCATGACTCCTCTGTTCTCCGAGCCGAGTTCATCAGCCAAGGTATGCAGCTGATAACAGCTGGAGCTGACGGCCTTCTCAAATTGTGGAATATCAAGACAAGCGAGTGCATGACAACACTTGATGACCATGATGGTAGAATTTGGGCTCTTGCAGGTTTGTATGTAATGAGATGAATTATTTGGATTTTAGGTTCTGTGAACAGTACTGCCATCTTTTGTTGTCTTTTACATGGTTTTGTAGTTGTCTGGCCTCCAGCCATACTCACCCAGCCACTTGTCAGATTCAGTAGTGCTTACATTTATACAAACACAAAATTTCACTTACTGACCTCTCTGAGGAACAACATACTGCTGGTTTCTTGTTTCATTTACTCATTGATCCTGAAGCTGAAGGTGAGGTGTTCCTCTGAAACATCAGCTGACTTTCACTGGACTGCATGGCTTTATATCCCAGAAGACAGAATGCTTCACATAAATACATTAATGCGCAGCATTTTTTGTTCTTTTATCAATCCTGCAGAAAGGTGTTCATACTTGTGTAACTTTTTGACCAGTGAGCAGGGATGAATCATTGCTGATCAGTGGAGGCTCTGATTCCAATTTGGTGTTGTGGCGAGATGTGACAGAGAAACGGCGAGAGGAAGCTGAAGAGGCTAGACAGAAATTAATACTTGAGGAACAAGAATTGGCAAACTTGGTGAAGTCAGATCAACTGTTGTCAGCACTGAAGCTGGCTCTCACACTTGATCGACCTCTGCAGGTTCTTCGTATAATCCAAGGTAAGTATAGTACCAAAAGGTAAATGGTCAGAAATAAAATAACTTTAATAATGGTTTACACTTTTGAGGGACTGCCTCTGTGGTCTAGTGGTCAGAGTTCCTGGTTACAAATCCAAAGGTCTTGGATCGATTCCTGGCACTACAAGATTTTCTGAGAAGTAGTGGGTCTGAAACGGGGTCCNGATCTATTCCTGGCGCTACCAGATTTTCTGAGAAGTAGTGGCTCTGGAACCGTGTCCACTCAGCCTCATGAGGATAATTGAGGAGCTGTTTGAAGGAAATAGCAGCCCCGGTCTAGAAAACCAAGATTAACGGTTATGGGGATCCATTGTGCTGACCATGTGATACCCTCTATCCACAGAAGTTGGCACTAACTTCGTTGATAAGCAGTGGTCACTCAGTCAATGTAGTTTGCTTGTGGACTACAGGCCAGGAGTTTGTTTTTTCTTGTTTGTTTTACACTTCTAATAATAATTAATAATTAAAATAATTACATTATTTACCCAAAGGGAAGATGAATTTTTCCCCTATTTTTAAAGTTAAGGAACGAAAGTTTGTGTTGAGTTTGAATAAAAGTATATGTTGATATTTTTAAGCAGTTAAGTGTTTTAACAGGTTGATTTTTTAAACATGTAATATATGATAACATTCATGCCATATTATGCTGTCAGGATAGCCAGCAAAGAAAGAAAGAGATATATTTGAAGGTTAGGAACCATGTGCTATGATAAGTTTTCCTGAGGTACGATCAAAAGTGGTATGAGAGACATATTTTTGAAGGTCAGGACCCTTCATCTAGCAGAAGTTTGCTCAAAGTAGCATTGAAACTATTTGTTGCACGTAGTAGTACCCCTTGATGAGAGATTGGCAGTTAGGGTGATGGAGTTTGCAATGGTAAAGACTCTAAAACAAGAATGAAGAATCTGAAATCAATATAATATATGTTTTCAGATATTTTGTATGTTTCACATATTT